TTAGTCCTGCCTTGGCTTCTTGGCACAAGAACACCTCCTGCCATTAAAGGTGGCAGCGTCGGGGCGGGCCTCGGTGGGCCTTGCGGATCAGCCACTGACACTGGGGGACGGGGGATGAGTGTTCTCGCCAAGGAGAGAGGGATGCTTCCGGCTCCCTGGCTTCGTGAGTGTGAGTGGGAGCCCCACTCCTCACTCTCCTGGCCCTGACCCCGCCGTGCGTGTCTCGTTCAGGCAGGAGGAAGGGGACCCTAATGCCGGCACCGTGTTGTGGGGACACAGCTCTGCCGACCAGTGCGCTCCCGCTGGTGTAGCAGCAGGCAGAAGCCCTGGGGACCCTCCTGCCAGGAGTGGGGTAGGTGGGGGGCCGGCGGGGGGAGGTATTGACAGACATGCTGGGCCTGAGCTATCTTGTCCAACATATAAGCAAAAATGTTGATTCTGGTTGTATTCAATTGAAAGTAAGTCAAGCAAGCAGAGGCTGGAGCGATGGCACAGCGGGTAGGGCGTTTGCCTTGCGTGTGGCCAGCCTGGCCGACCCGGGTTCGATTCCTCCGTCCCTCTGGGAGAGCCCGGCAAGCTACCGAGAGTATCTCGCCCGCACGGCAAAGCCTGGCAAGCTCCCCGTGACGTATTCGATATGCCAAACGCAGTAACAAGTCTCGTAACGTTACTGGGCCCGCTTGAGCAAATTGATGAACAATGGGAGGACAGTGACAGTGACAGTCAAGCAAGAAAAATCCAAATCCACCTCCTTTCCATTTGGAATTTCGGAAGAAGAACGAATACCCCTGCCGCTGCACCCCTCGGCCTGCCCTGTGGAGTGAGCCAGGAAAGGCGTCCTTGTGCCGCACCCTCCCCGAACCCACTCGACCCCACTTTGTCCTTCCCAGTCTCTCCCCACAGTGGGTGATGTCCCCAAGGGGCAGCGTTGGACCTCTGGGGCGGGGGAGGGGGCGGCCTTGTGCACAGTCGTGGGCGCAGGGAGATGCCTTGTGTTTGCTTACAGATGGCAGATTTGGGGCCAGCGATGTGATGGTAAAACACACACATGAGACCTAAATTTGACCCTGGCACCACACAATCACAAAACCAAACCAAAAGGTAAATTTTCAGGTTGGGGTTCTGAGTAAAATTTTTTTTTTTTTCAGTAAAGGGCTCAGTTGGCCAAAAACGTTTGGGGTTGTCAGCCCCAACAGAGGACATAGCCTTTGCAGTCCCCTGGGATGACAGGGGGCCTTGGCGACCAATGCCTTTCCCTCACCGTGTCTCAGACTGTTACCTGAGTGGCACCGGGGTGGCTGAGGGACCTGGCCATTCCTGGGGCACCTTTGTCGCGCCCAGGCTGGAGCGCTGTGTGGGTCGTAGGGCAGCTGGGCCTGGACGGAATGTGGATTAGCCGTCGCCCCTGGTTCTGCAGCCTCCGATCCTGCTTCCTCAGTGGCCGCAGTCTCTGTGGAATCGTTTATGGGTCAAGCCCATATTATTTTCTCCATTGAAAATTCTCTCTTAAGACATGGAGTAATGGGGCTGGAGGGAGGGCGTTTGCCTTGCATGTGGCCGGCCCAGGTTCGATTCCCAGCATCCCATAGGGTCCCCCAAGCACCGCCAGGAGTGATTCCTGAGTGCATGAACCAGGAGTAACTCCTGTGCATCGCCGGGTGTGACCCAAAAAAGCAAAAAAAATAAATAAATAAAAAGACTTGGAATAAAACGAGTCGGAAGGAAAGGGACAGATTTAGGATGACTGCATTTATTTGTGGGCTATTAAAAAAAGTGTGAAATTACTATCCCAGGCCAGGGAAAACGGGCCAGGAGGACTGGTCAGTGGCTGGTCAGTGGTGGGGGAGGTGGGGGGTAGTTAAGATATAGGAGGGTCCATTATGACCATGTTAGTTGGAAATGATCACTCTGGACAGGAACTGAGCGCTGAAAGCAGGTAAAGGGATCTAGCTGATAACCTGTCAGCATCTGTATCGCAAGCCTGAGTGCCTAAAATGAGAGAGAGAGAGAGAGAGAGAGAGAGAGAAGAGAGGTGTCTGCCATAGAGGCAGGCAGGGGAAGGGGGTGGCTGGAAGGGGTGGGAGGGAAACGGGGGGCATTAGGGCTGGAAAATGACACTAGTGGAGGGATGCGTGTTGGCACATGGTATGACTGAAACGCAATCGTGAACAATTTTGTAATGCTCTATCACGGTGATTCAGTTTAAAAAAAAATAGAAAAGAAAAGAAAATTCTCTCTTCAGCATTAGCTAACCCTCCCCCTCAATACTTTTATTTTCCCTTAATGTAATTCAGTAAATATCTGTAAGCTATAAGTGATTTCAAGCATAATTTTTAATGTGTGTCTATACAGACATGTTTAATTAGTAAGTACATCTTTATAATTTTCTAATATAATTTTAATGGAAAAAATAAATACAAATATTTGTCCTCTGTGGGAACTTGACACTTTTCATCCCCTTTTCTTCTGAGCAGTAAGAATTGTCAGGGTATTTATTCGACTATTAGAGTTGTCGAAACTTGAACCGAGGCCCAGACTTTCGGTGAAATCACATTAAAAATTAATCATTGCGGATAACAGATTTTTGAATCGTAGCTGGAAAGCGTAGGTAGTCGCTTCAAACCAGGGATGTCGGGGAAATCTTGTTTCGCTGCCGGGGGTTGAACTTGGGGACCTGGAGCTGGGGCCCCTCTCTGGTCACCCACCTTCCTTCCCGCCTCCTCGGGAGGGTAAGGGTCATCCCCACCCTGTGCGGTACCTCGAGAAGCCTCTCCATTCTCGACTTTTTGGTCTCGAGCAGTGAGCAGTGTTGTCCCAGGCACTGGGCAGGTTTCCTGGCCAAGATGCGCAGAGTCAGCCGAGCGCTGGGCCTGACCCAGGATTCCAGGCCGGAGGCTCAGGGCCAAGTGCTGACCACAGCCGGATGGTCACTGTGGTCACTGCCCTGCTGTGGGCGTGGCCCTCTGGGCTGCCATCAGTGTGGCCTCTGTGGACATGGCAGTGTGGACTGTTGTCTCATGGCTTCTGAGGGCACTACCCCTCGGTGGGCTGCTGTCAGTGTCCCCTTCGGGCGTGGCTCTGCGGGCTGTGGTCAGTGCCTGCTTTGGCGTGGCCCTGGGGGCTGTTGTCACTGCCCCAGAGTCCACGAACTGGGGACCTTGTCCAGGGAGCTGGCCCTGCACTCCAGGCAGCTTGGGAAAGCAGGGCGCCACTTGGGACAGTTCCTTGTCCGTTTGTGATGGTGGCCCCTGGATGCCACGAAACAGACCACACTGGCCGTGGATGACCTTCCTTCTGTCTGCCAAGGTCTCTACACCGTTTCTGATTTCTGAAGTCAGCTGTTTCCTGGCTTGGAAACGAAGGATGGCAGTGAGTCTGGTTCCTGTGACGGAAGAGCTCTGGCGTCTCGGTGCTCTCTGCTCTCCTCTGTCCCATGCAGAACCTTTCCCATTGTGCGTCTCCAAACGGGAACGTCGTGGGTCCTTGCGTAGAAGCTTTAGGGAGAGCGTCAGAGAATCCCTGACGTCTCAGCCACGCGGGCAAGGGCTTGCCCTGCCCCAGCAGCTCAGGCCACCTGCGAGGGGCCTGGCTGTGCACTGGGATCGGGGATGGCAGAGGGGGCCGCAAACGGAAGTAAGATCTGTGTGTGTGTGTGTGTGTGTGTGTGTGTGTGTGTGAGTGTATGTGTGAATGAGTGTGTTTAAATGTGTGAGCATGTATGTGTAAGTGGAATGTGTGTGAATGTGTGTATGAGTGGGGGGGTGTGAGTGCGTGTGTGTGTGAATATGTGAGCATGTGTGTGAGTGGAGTGTGAGTGTGTGAATATGTGAGCATGTGTGTGTAAGTGGAAGTGTGTGAATGGAATGTGTGAGCGGAGTGTGTGTGTGTGAGTGAATATGTGAGCATGTGTGTGTCAGTGTGTGAGTGGAGTGTGTGAATGTGTATATGAGTAGTGTGTATAAGTGTGTGTGTGTGAGTAAGTATATGTAAGTGGAGTGTGTGAGCGTGTGTGAAGGAGTGTGTGAGTGTGAGGAGTATATGTGTGTGAGAGTGAGGAGTGTGTGAGTGTGTGTGTGCGTGAAGTGTGTGGGTGTGTGAGTGTTTCTGGGTGTGGGTGTGTGTAGGGGGCTGCAGGGCTGGAGCAAGAGTTCCTGGGACCGGAGGGGGACCCTGGCTGTCTCCCGGCAAGGTGGGGAGCGGGGCCCTGTGGGCTTTTGGCTAGGCTGGCCTGTGCATTTGTGATGCCTTGGCGGTGTCAGCAGATGGGGCTGAGCACTGGGCTTGGAGTCCAGTGTCAACCCACTCTCCCCGAGGTGCGGCTCCCCTCTGGGGGTCCCAGTGCTGCCTGGCCCTCTGCCCCCTCTGATCCGGGAGCCCTGCAAAGTGGGGGGGTCCTGGGAGGTCTTGAGTACCTGGAGGTGAGGGCGGGTGGGACGCAGGGCCCCTCCCCTGAGAAGGAGGTCTTGCCTGGGGCATGCCCCGCGTGGTTCTCCCTGCAGGGGTGACAAGGGGCCTTGTCCGCCGTGTGCAGGTCAGGGTCAGTCCCCTGTGGGTGCAGAACAGCCTGGCTGCAGGGCACAGGCGTGGGGGGAGGTAAGTGACCAGCGCGGGGCCGGCATCCCTCTGCCCCCTACCCCAACCTCCCCATTTGGCCCCAGTGGGAGTCCTTGTGGCTTCCAGAGGGTCTGGGGCCGGGGGCAGGCCTTGCCCGTGGTGCCAGCGACGCGCCGGCCTCACGCCTGTGGGTCCGTCCCCGTGGGCTGCTCAGGGAGGGCCAGCTGCGCCTCCCTCCCCCGCGGGGATGGTGAGCCGGTCACTGCACAGTGCTGGTTCCGCGGAGGAGGGTCCGAGGGGGTCTTCACCGCGGGTCTCGGAGCGCGTATGGGGGGCACTTGTGTCTCCTCCGGGCAGGGCACTTGTGTCTCCTCCGGGCAGGAAGCCTTGGGCAGGGGCCCTGGCCAGAAAGCTGATGCCTTCTCTTCCGGCCTCCCTTTCTCTAGTCAGAAAATGGGTAAGAAGAGTCGCGTGAAAACGCAGAAATCGGGCACCGGCGCTGCAGCGAGCGTGTCGCCGAAGGAGACCCTGAGCCTGACCACCGAGCTGCTGCAGAGTGAGTCCCGCCTCGGGTCCCCCTTCCCTGACCCTTCCCCGGCCCCTTACCTGTTGCCCCTCCGTGCCCCTGACTCCGGCTGCTCTGTTGCAGAGTGCAGCAGCCCGGCGCCTGGCCCCGGCAAAGAGTGGGAGGAGTACGTGCAGATCCGCGCCCTGGTCGAGAAGATCCGCAAGAAGCAGAAAGGTCAGTGACGCGGGCACGGGGGGCTCTGGGCTCTCCCCGCGCTGAGGGGCTCAGGAACGGGGCGGGGTGAACTGTGTGAGAAGAGGAGTCTGCTGCCAGGGCATTGGCACACACCACAGGGATACGTGGCCGGCTGGTGGGCACCGAGGCCACTGCCCTGGGGGCGCAGAGGTGAAGTGGGGTGTCCAGAGCTGCCCTCGCCACCCCTTCGCCGTCTCATGGAGGGGCTGGGGGAGGCTGGGGTGGCCGTGTCCTGGCTGCAGCCCAGCCGGGGTGGTAACTGCACCCCGTGTGGATGCGACCCCCTCTCCCCCCACCCCGGCTAGGCTGTGTGTGACAGCGTTTCTGTGCCGGTGCCCCCTGTCCATGCTGTGTCCCCCTGCCTCATAGGCCCTTATTACTTGCTGGTGACAGGGGCGTCCCATCTGGGCCAGGCGCACTTGGTCAGCTTCCCACTGTGACCAAGTGCCGTGTCCTCTGCAGGAGGGGAGAGGGGCGGGAGGGAAGGAGACCCTCATCATTCTCACCGCTTCAGACACTCGCTGAGAACCCTGCGGGCCACAGAGTGTGTGTCTGTGTGTGTCTATGTGTGTTTGTGTGTATCTGTGTTGTGTGTACGTCTGTGCATGTGTGTTTATGTGCATGTGTGTGCGTGTTCTCATCCTACTATTTCAGACGCTTGCTGAGAATCCTGTTAGCCATGGTGTGTGTGTGTGTGTCTGTGTCTGTTGTGTGTCTGTGTGCATGTGTGTGCATCTGTGTGTGTGCGTGCATGTGTGCATCTATGTGTGTTTCTGTGTGTGTGCGTGTATGCATTTGTATGTGTCTGTGTGCATGTGTGCATCTCTGTGTGTGTGTGTGTGTGTGTATGTATGTGTGCTCTCATCCTCCTTGCTGAGAGCCCTGCGTGCCCGAGGCCAGTCTGGTGCCCCCGTCCCCGCCCCCTCCATCCCCTCTACTCCCCACCCCCAGCTCCTTATCCTTCATCCCTTCGTTTTCCTTTCAGAAATCAGACAGTCTGCAGAGCTGCTGCCGGCGGGAGGGTTGGAGGCTGTCCCCTGTGGCGGTGGCAGTGGCAGTGGCAGTGTCAGCCCGGGTCACAGGCCGCAGGGAACGTGGTGCCGAGCACCAGGGCGCGCGCTCTGGGCCAGGCCTGCGGGAGTGCTGGGCCTGGTTCCCGGGCCTGTGGGAGCAGGGGCGTCTGTGAGCGCCCCCAGGAACCCTCAGGCGGGTTGGCCCACGTTCTCCCACGCGTCCAAGTGACGTGTGTCCCTCCCGCGGCCCATGCAGGTCTGTCGGTCACCTACGAGGGGAAGCGGGAAGATTACTTCCCCGAGCTCCTGAAATGGGCCTCCGACAACGGAGCCTCCGTGGAGGGCTTTGAGATGGGCAACTTCAAGGAGGAGGGCTTCGGCCTGAAGGCCACGCGGGACATCAAGGTGAGCGTGGGGGCGTGACAGGGCTGGACCGTCAACTGTGAGGCGACGGGGCCGCGGCAGGCACAGGCATACGGGGCAAAGGGCAGCCGGGGGCGGCCCAGGGTGGCTGTGGGTGGCTGTGGGTGGCCGAGCGTGGCTGAGGGTGGTTGAGGGTGGTTGACGGTGACTCAGGGTGGCTGAGGGTGGCTGAGGGCTGCTGAGGGTGATTTAGGGTGACTGAGGGGGGCGCTAAGGCCCGCTGAGGGTGGCATCTTTCCCATGCCCATCCCTCCAGTGTGTGGAGGAAGTAGCTGCCTTTCCTGAAGGGAGCCACGAGCCCACGCTCGTCCCTGTGCCGGCAGCCCACATGCGTGTGGACGGCTGTCTTGGGGGCGTCTCTCGTATTGTGTTCCTGTCGGTTGGCACACAAGCCCTCCTGCTTCTTGTCAGACCCGAGCGGCCCAGGTTGTCCCGCAGCCAGCAGCTGGACCAGGAGGGAATTCCCACAGGAGTCTGGCCCAGGGGTCACGGCCGGTGCCCTCCCCGCCGTGCTCCGTCCCCACGGGGACCTTCCCCAACATGACTGCACGCTGGTGCCCAAAGTGCTCCTGTGAGCCTATCGCCCGGCCCAGCTCCCTGCGGGGAGGTGGCGGTAGGGGACACCGAGTGCCCGCAGTGTGTCTTTTTTTTTTCCCCTCCTTTTTTAGTTTTTATTAGTGAGACACCATGAGGTACAGTTGTAGACTTACAGATTTTTGTGCTTGGGTTTCAGTTATACAACGATCCAGTACCCATCCCTCCACCAGTGCCCATTTCCCACCACCACGGGTCCCAGTCTCCCTCCCACCCCCCCATCCCCCCGCAGTGCATCTTGATCGCAGTGCGTGAGAGACCTCAGTCCCAGAGCAGCACACCCGGGCAGAGGGTTCTCCTGTTGGAAGCGGGGATTCCGTTCTGTGTTTTTAGAACCTAAAAATACAGGAGTCTGCTAAGGCAGACAGGCAGCTTCCTGCTCTACCTCAAAACATTGGAGTTTTTTTTTTTTTTTTTTGGTCCCACTCAGCAGTGTGCAGGGCTTACTACTCCTGCTCTGTGCTCAGGGATCACTCTTGGCAGCGCTCGGGGACCATTTGGGATGCTGGTGGCTGAACCTGGGTCAGCCACATTCAAGGCAGACGCCCTCCCTGCTGCCGTATTGCTCTGGCCCCTATCTCAAATTTTATTTTATTTTATTTTATTTTATTTTGAGTTGGGGCGATAGCACAGCGGTAGGGTGTTCGCCTTGCGTGCGACCGGCCTGGCCGAGCCAGGTTCGATTCCTCCGCCCCTCTCGGAGAGCCCGGCAAGCTACCGAGAGTATCTCGCCCGCACGGCAAAGCCTGGTAAGCTAACCGTGCCATATTAGATATGCCAAACACAGTAACAAGTCTCACAATGTTACTGGGCCCACTCGAGTAAACTGATGAACAACGTGAGGACCATGATCGTGACCGTTATTTTATTATATTTTTTTGCTTTTTTGGGTCACACCCAGCGATGCTCAGGGGTTACTCCTGGCACTGCACTCAGGAATTACTCCTGGCAGTGCTCAGGGGACCCTATTGGATGCTGGGAATTGAACCCAGGTCAGCCACATGCAAGGCAAGCACCCTACCCGCTGTGCTATCACTCCAGCCCTCAAATTTTGCTTTTAGAAAATTCGTTTCTTTGGTTTTGGGCCCCAGTTAGCGGTGCTCAGGGCTTACTCCAGGCTCTGCTCTCGGGGATCACTCCTGGCAGGGCTCAGGGGACCAGGTGGGGTGCCAGGGATCTGACCTGGGTTGGCCACTGTGCTATCATGCTGGGCCACCTCAATTTTTTATATTGACTTCAAATTCTGGTTGAAAGATCCTTTGTCTTCTCGGTAAATATACCCAGTATTTCTGTTGTAACAAGACTTTAAGCTAAGTTTCAACTCCTAACTGGAGCATGCATGCTTGTATTTGAAATACATTGAAAATGAGAAATGAAGAGCGTAAGATGCAGCTTTGAGAATTTTCTTTAGTGTGTATTGGCTGTCTGGCCACAGATGTGCTTGAAGATTGTAAATTGTTTTGATGACTCTAATATTTTCTTATTTCTACCCCCCACCCCCCCAGGCAGAAGAATTATTTTTATGGGTTCCACGAAAATTGCTAATGACTGTTGAATCTGCTAAAAATTCAGTGTTGGGTGAGAATAATTTCTGGCTCTTTGTTCAAGGCAAAGCACAGATGATAACGCTTTGTAAATTCCCCTTTGTGGTGCGGTTTGGTTGTTTTTCCTTCACGAGGGAAATGTTCTTCCAGTCTGCCCTTGTTTTCCTTGCTCGTAGTCTGACATGGTCGAGGGGCACCCGACGACCTTTATGCGTGTGACTGTAGATTCCCCAAGGCATCTTTGTGACGTCCAGAACTTGCATTTCTAGTTGGAGTGGGTGCCTTTCGCAGGGCGGGCGGGACTCACCCTTCTTCCTTCTGGGTTCCCCAGGGCCCTTGTATTCGCAAGATCGGATTCTTCAAGCCATGGGGAACATCGCCCTGGCCTTCCACCTGCTGTGTGAGCGCGCCAACCCCAACTCTTTCTGGCAGCCCTACATCCAGACCCTGCCCAGCGAGTACGACACCCCTCTCTACTTTGAAGAAGAGGAAGTCCGCTACCTGCAGTGCACCCAAGCCCTGCACGACGTCTTCAGCCAGTACAAGAACACCGCTCGGCAGTACGCCTACTTCTACAGGGTGATCCAGGTGAGCCGCGCAAAGGCTGACGTGGCGCTTTTATTTACTTTTTTTTATAATTTATTTTATAAAGTAGTTCACAAATATTTGATTACATTTAATATTCCAACACCAATCCCACCGCCATGACCCCTTCCCACCACCATATTTTGGGTGTTTCCATCCCGAACCCCAATCCCTGCCCCAAAGCAGAACCGAAATAATGTATTTTGTATTGTTTGTTTTGGAAAAACCACTGAAAATACTACAAGAAAGTATCCTTAGCGGAAAGAGGGTGAGGATTGTTGGATTTCACCCAGGGGCCATTAAGCCCTTCTTTAAGAGAGCACGGTGAAGTTCATGCCCAATTCAATCAGCTAATCGGTGGCTGAATAAACAGCAGTACCTCCTACATTTAAAAAAAAAAGAGAGAGAGAGCACTAATATGTTGTTAGAAGTTGAGCCTCGTGTGCCTTTAGTTCTCACTCTCCGTCCAGTGTGGTGCGGTACTCTTGGAGTATGGGTAGGGTGTGGTATGAAGTGTCGAGTGGCTGCAAATGCAGCCACGCGGTCCAGTGATGGGGTCACTTGTGGACGAGGCTCGGCGCGAGCGTGTGGAGAGTGGCCGTGAGTGTGGCGGTGGTTGAGTTGTGGGAGTTTTCGGCTGCCCGGGCTGGGTCCCTTGGGGCGGGAAGGGCTCTCACCTGCCCTGCTCTGGGGCGCCCCGAGTGAAACAGCCTGGCATGGGGCCCGGCGCGGGGTCCGGTGACATGGTTATCACGTTGTGCTTTTAGAATGAAAGACATGATCCCTCCCTCCCTCCCTCTTCCCCCTCCCCCTCCTTCCCTCCCTCCCTCCCTCCCTCCATCCCTTCTTCTCTCCTCTTCCTCCCTCCTCTCCATCCCTCTCTCCTTTCCTCCCTCCTTCTCTGTTCTTCCTCTTTCTCTCCTTCCCTCTCTCCCTCCCTCCCTCCTTCTCTCCTCTCCCTCCCTCCTTCACTCCCTCCTTCTCTCTTCTCCCTTCTTCTCTCCATTCTTCCCTTCCTCCCTCCCTCCTTCCTTCCCTCCCGCCCTCCCTTTCTCTCTTTCTGTGTTTGGACCCACATCCAGGCATGCTCTGGATTTCCTCCTGGCTCCATGCTCGGCGGGGGCGGCGTGTCACTCCTGGCAGTGCTTGACGGGCCCTGTGTGGTGCCAGGGCCGGAGCTGGGCTTGGCCCGTGCCCAGCAAACCCTCCCCTCCTGTGCCATGGCCCTGGCCGCGCTCTTTCCGCTTTCACAGCCGTGTCTGTGACCCAGTTGCGAATGTCTGACCTTCGCGGTGTTGAGTGCAGTCATTCCTATGCTCAGTTTTTCTGCAAACCAAAGTGGAGGACAGTATCGGGGGACTGAGTGCAGGGCGGCGCTCCACGTCCGTGGTCCCGGGAGCTTCGGGCCCCTCGGTAGCGCTTCCCAGATGGGGCAGTTCTGAAATCCTGGCATTGAAGTCCCCGAGTCAGGAGACTGATCCTGCCTGTCCGACAACTTCAACTGGGTCTCCTGACGCCTAATTGAGTTACGTAGCAGCGATACACAGAAAACCCCATTTGGATGGAGCCCGTCGGGCCCGAGCGATTCAGCAGCAGGTCGGGCACTTGCCCGGCCAGCAGCTGACCCGACTGGGATCGCCAGCAGCCCATCTGGTCCTGAGCGCGACCAGACACGGGGAGCAGGAGAGACGGCCGAGTGGGGCTTAGAGCTTCCTCCAGCCGCTGAGCTGTGGCGGGCGGCCAGGCGGGAGGACGGCTCCTCGCTCGCTCCCCCATCTCATCTCGAGACCCCCGAGGCTCGGTCTTGGCTACATCCTCTTCCTGTTTTCTTTTGGGGCCACACTTGGTGATGCCCAGGGCTTATTCCTGGCTCTGCAGTCAGGGACCACTCCTGCGAGGTGTGAGGGATTGAGAGTGAAACACACACACAGTGTGTGTGTGTGGTCTTTAATCACAAGGGATTGAGCCCAGCTTGCCCAGGTGCCAGGCCAGCACCTCCCCTTAGTCCTATTACTCTGCCCCCCCCACACACAAACACACACACACACACACACACACACACCGGCTGTATCTTCTCTGCATGAGGTGGTGATCTCACTCTGTCACCATCAGAAGTGTTGTTTGTTATGAAATGTCACGGCGGCAAGGTCACAGCACAAGGATATCACACTCAGGTTTGCGTCCGTCCCTCTGACCCAAATAAAGTGCGCGACTCGTCCTCAGGTAGAAAGCCCTTTGGGTTTCATATGAGCTGCCTCCTCCAGGAGGTGCCGTGCTTTCTCCCCTACCCCCGGGCCACGTGTCTCCTGCTTTTTTGGGCGCCAGCCCTGGGCCTTGGCGGGCAGGCGCTGCAATTCCTCCCAGCGCTTTGTACTTTTTGATTTTTTCTGGCATGGTGGTTCCAGGTTTTCAGCGGGCGGGGGGAGCCCTTCCGCACGTGTGCACAGACCCTCAAGCCTTTCAGTGAGTGCTTGGGGTCCGGGACCTGGCGGCAGCTCTCTATCACCACTTCCTACTCGGCCGTCTTCCTGTCCTGGGGCGAGCTGAGTCTGCACCAGACCTGTTCTTCGCTGGCCCCTTGGTTGTCTATGTGGCCACTGACGCAGCCCTGCGGTCGTGGTGGTCTCCGGGAGGCTCGTGGTGTTGGGCCGCGGCTGGGCTCTGGCTGACACTCACAGCTTCACGCTGCCAGCAGGCTCTCATACCGTCGTCCCCCTAAGCCGACTGCTGGCCCGGGAGACTGCAGTTCACTTCTGCACACAGCAGGAGGCCGCAAGCATGACTTCGCGTGACTTGGAGGTCCCTGGGAAGGGCACCCAGAGGTGTTGGGTCAGTCCAGCCTTGCGCTGGTGAGACCTTGCGATTTTGTTTTTGTTTGGGGGGGCCACACCTGGCGATGCTCAGGGGTGATTTCTGGCTCTGCATTCAGGACTTAACTCCTGGCGGGCAAGACTAGTGCCCTCGAGGCGTTATGGGTCCCGCTGGCCTCTCAGTGGGCAAAGACTGATCAGGCTTCCTGTGCAGGAGGATTCTGTGTACCTAATAGTGCGTTCTTTGTATTTATTTATTTATTTATTTATTCCGTTTTGGGTCACACCTGGTGATGCACAGGGCTTCTCTTAGCTCTGCACTCAGAAATTTTTCCGACAGTGCTCGGGGGACCATATGGGATGCTGGGAATCGAACCCAGGTTGACTTCGTGCAAGGCACACGCCCTCCCCACTGTACTGTTGCTCTGGCCCCAATAGTGCATTCTTACAGGGGTGCCCACATTCTCTGCAGGGATTGCACTGTGACCAGGTGCCGCAGAGCTAGGCGTCTCTGTGTGTGTGTGTGTGTGTGTGTGTGTGTGTGTGTGTGTGTGTGTGTGTGTGGTTTTCACTAGTGAAGACCACACACACGAGCTCAAAATGGACCAGATCCGACACCATCACATTCAGAGAAGGGAGGACCGAGGCTGTAGTGGCGCCTGTGTGGGCTCTCGGCCCCAGCGGCAAAGGCACACGCAGCGGACTAACTCCCGACTCGGGCACAGCCAGAAGACTGACCGACCAGGACGAGCAGGAAGGAGAAAGTGCGCGGCGCCCGATCGCGCGGCAGAGGGAGCAGACACAGGCTGAGGCAGGTGGCTCGGGGCACGCGTCACCCCTCCGAGAGTGGCCTCGAGAAACACCAGAAACGGGTGCCAGGCAGGACGGGGACGGAGAGACCCTTGTTCGCGTCGGGGCATTTCCCTGAGGGAGCCTGGGGGTTTTTCCAAACAGAAGCAACAGGTCGGGCTGTGCCTGGTGGAGGGAGGGACGGCCTGGACGTCGTGGCGGGACGCGGGGCACCGGGACGCACTCGGGCTGCTGGGCCCTGGCAGGTTCCGGGATCATCTCGGCTGCAGAAACGCATCCTGACGCGAGTCTGCACTGCTTTGGAGATGTGACCCACCTGCAGAGGGGCGGGAACAAAGCAGTTGTGAAAGCAGAGACCCCAACAGTGCCCGCGCAGAAACCCCACAGAGACCCCGCAGAGCTCACAGTACCCCCAGAGACCCCACTGAGACCCCCAGAGACCTCACAGAGATTCCTAGAGACCTCACAGTACCCACAGAGACCCGCAGAGACCCCACAGACCTCAGACCTCACAGTACCCAGAGACCCACAGAGACCGCACAGAGACCCCACAGACCTCATAGACCTCACAGTACCCGACCCGCAGAGACCACCAGAGACCCCACAGAAACTCGCAGAGACCCACAGAAACCCCATGGAGATCCCGCAGAGACCCCACAGAGACACCTCAGACCTCACAGTACCCAGAGACCCACAGAGACTCACAGGGATTCCTAGGGACCTCACAGTACCCACAGAGACCCGCAGAGACCCCACAGACCTCAGACCTCAGACCTCACAGTACTCAGAGACCCATAGAGACCCAGCAGACCTTGCAATACCCACAGAGACCGCACAGAGACCCCACAGACCTCATAGACCTCACAGTACCCGACCCGCAGAGACCACCAGAGACCCCACAGAGACTCGCAGAGACCCACAGAAACCCCATGGAGATCCCGCAGAGACCCCACAGAGACCCCTCAGTACCCAAAGAGACCCCACAGTACCCGCGGTATCTGCAGATGCAGAGACTCCACGGTACCCTACAGAGACCCCACAGAGTCCCTGCAGAGACCCTTCAGAGACCCTGCAGTGCTTCCCCAGTGCCCGCAGAGACCCCACAGTGCCCATCCTAGGGCGGGCCACAGGCCAGCGTGGACAGCGGCCTTTGGCCGGGCCCTGCCCCTGAGCTGTTCTGGAGGCCGCATGCCCTGCCGCTCCCCGGGCATGGGAGCACGGCCTGGGGTCCTGGTGTGTGCAGTGTGCGGGCATACAGGACAAGAGCGCTCAGGGTGGGCCCAGGAACGCCACACAGCTGACTCGAGGGGCCGAGATGCCAGCCGAAACCTCAAGCGTTTGAAAGAGCAGCGGAGAGGGGAAAGTGAAGGCCTGGCTGTCCCT